GGCCATGAAAGCCAAGACCACCGTGATAGTTTTGGCCAACATACAGGAAACAGCCACTGAGAAGATGATCCCAAAAGCAGTCTGTCGAAGGAGACAAGTCATCTTCACGGGTTGACCGATGAAAAGCAGAGAACTAAGGAAGGAGAGGAGGAGGGAGATGACGAGGGTGTAGGAGAGGCTGCGGTTGTTGGCCTTGACAATGGGAGTGTTGTGGTACTTCAGGAAGATGCCTAGTACAGGAACTGTGGTGAAAGAAAGGATAATGGCCACTGTCATCAAGCTGCTTCCTAATGTTTCTTCATAAGAGAGGTAAGAGATGTACTTGAGAAGGCAGAAATCCTGGTTATGGTTTGGATACTGATCTTCTGGGCACTGGAAGCATTTGTCCATGTCTGGAAAACAAATATAAGTAAAAAGCAAAAGATGGCTGAGAGGTCAGCAGTCTGAGAATGATGATATAAGAGGCATATATTGGAAATATATGTTAGAGGAAATGAGTCCTTGGGAGACAGCAAATCAGGTGGTTTACAATGTAAATAATAATAATAGTAATGGCATAGTCTTGTAGATTTCTGCTTGGATAAAAATATTAGTCCATTTTATTTATTTAGTTATTTATTCTAAAAAGCAAAAATATCTCAAAGGTATTTATAAACATCCTACACTGAATAAGAAAAAGATTCATACTGAGATTGTTTGAATTCATTCAAACCTTAAAAGGACTTCAAAGATGCCTTAATACAAGATATATTCTATATTCCGTTAATCACTCTTTTCTCAAACTTTCACCTGATAGTAAATCACAAGAGAGAAAGAAAGAATTTCAAAAGAAAAACGTTGGATCATACAGTCCCCCGTTTCCAGTAGAAATGGGGTATTCAGTTGTGAAAAGTTATACATGTTTAGGAAATTGAGTGTGATGTCTAAATGATGGAGGACATCCGATATCTTTCACAACATCTCTTACCTCTCTGATTTGTGATCTTTCCCTGTGGACATGGAAGGCAGTCATAGCAGCAAAATGGTTTTCCTTCTTGTGGGGTCTTTCGGTAACCTAGAGGGCAATTATCATTACACAGGGAGAGAGGCGATACCTGCCCATGAAGGAAATAAAAATATGCTAACATATTTGGAAATCGTATTCAGAGATTGAAGTTGTAACATGTTGAGACTGTGGTGCTGAAGAGCATCTTCCCATCCTCCCGGACTCAGCTGAAATGGCATACAGAAACAGAAATAATTTGAGGCCCATGATTCAATCAGGCCAAGAGGAAGATTGACACCTTACTCCACACTAGATTACCTCACCTAAATTATGAACTTAAGGACACACATTTTATTATTGCCAGGTTAACCTCTGGATCCTGTGGCTGCCTCTGGTTCTGAAGAAAATCAAAGCTAAGTAATTCAGAGGGACACACTTGAAAGAAGACCTCTGGCCAGTGCCAAGAAAATAATATACTTAAACCCATTAAAACAATTGATTGGTATCGTATTCTTTTCCTCAGAAATAAGCAAGTAAATCTAATCTCCCTGAATTTTTTCTCTTAATCACTTTTATCCCAATTTGCTTGGTTTTCCTTCCTGTTTTTTTTTGCCATTGGCATATTGTTTTTGTTCTGGAAAGGCATAGAAAGATGAAAATATACTGTGTTCTTCTGTAGATGAACTTCAGCAATATTAAGCTTAGAAACAGAGTTGTGCTCAGAAATCTTCTCCCACTGCAGTTTTGGCCACATGTGGTGGGAGGTCATTTTGTCAAGTTTTTTCAGGGAAGGACTGAAATTCTCCCCACAAGAAAATTCATAATTTAACAGAAATTTACCAGAAATATTCAGAAAATACTGAGGATATTTGGAAAAGAATGTCACAAATATGATTTATCAATATCCTTTTAGACATCATTGTTTAGATCTTAATATAAGTTGCATAAATCTAATCGGAGGGGGGGGGAATCACCACTCCATAACATTATATCTTTCATATATTGGTGAATAAACTGACAAATGTGTCTGCAGGGATAATGACTCCAGGATAAGGAAAATATATATTGTGACATCAGAACAGAAGCTCTTCGCTGATCCTTGCACTGCAATGTCTCATACAAGTACATAAGGCTCCAGGAGCATGTACAGAGATAGTCAGTAACTTGAAATGCCACGCACATCCCACAATCATATCCTTATCATTTCAATGTGTAGCGTATGCTCTGCTCACTAAATAAAAAGGAACAGGGCTTTAAAGCCAATGACCATAGCTGAGAGTGCCCCCATAAAGTGTACAGTTTGGGTCCCACTGTGCAAAATGTCACCTAACCTACCTAGTGTGCCCCCATATATCACTTGGATATTGAACTAATTCCGAGAAGGACTCAGATTCCCCAGCAACTCCCATGACTGAACAAAAACAAGGCAAAATAGAATATATATTTTACCAGAATAGTCACTTGACAATATACTAAATAAATCCATATTCTCATGCGTCTGATCTGCTCAGCTCTTGGTCATTTTTTTAAATATTTAAAGACAAAAATACTCAACCGAAATCAAAGCAGTTGTGTTAGGTTTATGTGAACATCCTTGGAATATTGGGTAAAGTGATCAGTCAATGTGGACATGAGATGGAGTCTACCTGATTGAACCAGGTGGGCCAGATGATGCCGTCCTCTGAAATGGTCAGCAGTTGATGTGAGAGTCCTTCTGGATCGATGGTTCCAACTTTAACTCTGAGGAAGGACTGGTTTGGGAACGTGACCCAGTTTATAATATCAAATCCTCCTACAAATTCACCATTTTCATCAAAGGAAATCTTGTCCCCAGCACTGTTATTAAATGAAAGACCTCTCAGAAAATGGTGAAGCTAAACAGCAAGGAGGAAAAAGTTGGAAAAGAGATGATGGTTTACTGTTAATACATTGCAAAAACACTCAGCACTATTATAGTACATTAGATGTAAGATTGCATCGTTGTCTTCATGGAAGTGGAATCGTAAGCTTCCTATCATTCTAAAAAATATATTAATAAGGTATTGCAGACTTAATCTCTGAGGAGATATGCCACAAATTATAAAACATGCATTTATTTCTTATAAAAAAAATGACATTCTTCTACAAATCTAATAGGACTGACCTAATATATTGAAAACCTCCAAACCAGTGTGTGTCTATAAAAGGACCTTCAAGAGTTAATAGATTGATATTACTATATATTTATTTAAAAAATCCCTTCTCACCCCTCTTGGTGGTATGTGTGTTCCTCAATCTTGAGTCCTCTATCAGAGGCCTGGGAGTTTGAGAGTTCTCTGCAGTATCTTAGCTGTCCCTTGCACTGTACTGGATGTATATCCAGTGCATATATCAAATATATCTCATATATATGTCCTGGTTCTCCAAGATCTGAGATATACCTTGTTAATCTGGACAACGTCTGAGTCGGCATGACTGTTTTAATTCATGTCACTCTCATATTTGAAGCATTGGGGGTCTTTCCTCAAGGACCCCTACTGGTAAGGTAGATACCAGGCAGGATTAGAACCCTGGTCTCTCGCATCAAAGCGGTATTCTAATCATTACCGTATCCAGCTGCTTTGTTTTATATATACACACACACATTGTATATATATATATACATACTCACACACCTTGTCTTGTCCATGTGACAAGAGATAAAAGAGATTGGCACAACCAAGTAGCTGGCATTGTGTACAGGAACATCTGCACAGTGTATGGGCTAGACC